ATGATAATTATTCTAATAACACTGGTTATAAAATAAACGGAAAGATATAATTAACTAATTGCAATCCTTTCTTTCTAGGCCAAGGCCAAAGGGTTTCAAATCGCCTCCTCATTGCAATGTAACAGAGCAGTTGCAAGGTACACAAAGCAGAGAGATAATATAGAAAAGGAGGAATTGAAAGCTGCACAGTGCAGAGGAAAAATAATAAGTTGCAAGTATGCACATTGTGGGGAAAAGAAAGAAAACGAGCTGTTGAAGGTTGATTTAATTTGATTTGAAAAAAAGAAATCCTGGAACTGTAGTTGCTGCATCATGAGGATCATTTGTTTTACCTTTTGCACCAACATTTGCAGTAGGTCCTGTCTTCCCTGTGGAGTAGGGGTCGGCGCTGGCACTGAAGCAGGTGCAGAAGCCGGAACTGCTGTGTGCTGAAACATGTGTTAAAGATGTCGGAAGCGATGTCGATGTCGAAGCAGTTCCGGTACAAGTATTAAGGGTTGGATGAGGTTTTGCAGGAATGGGGTTGCCAGAATGATCAGTTAAAATTAATAGTGCTATAGATTCAGTTTCTGATCTGACTGTTATAAGAAGGGAGCGATTGCGTCTGGTATAGAATGGGACTTTGCCCACTTGTTTTTGGAGGTATTGTTGATAGAGAAGAGTGTTGCCTGAGTAAGGAGCTATAGAAGGGATCACGAAAATCGGTTCCATTTAGCTGGGCTAAACAGAGTATTTAAGATATTTGTAGGGTTGGTGGTGGTGGATGGTCAGGGACGTGTGAAAGAGGGAGTATTACGTAGCGATGGAGAATACGGCTGTAAGGTAGTAATAAGGGAGGATAGGGTGCTTGATGAAGGTTGTGGGGGTAGAGTTGATGAATTTGAGGTAGTTGGGAGGGTAGGAATGTCTTTGGAGATTGAGTCTCTGCTTGGGTGAGTAATGCACTAGTAGGCATTGAGGAGTGGGTAGTAATTTCAGTGTTCGGAGTCGTGGTCAAAGGAGAGCCTGGGGTCGGGGAGCCGGTGGGGATATTTGATAAAAGGGCAAGCCTCATAGGGGTATTACATCTTCATTACTGGCCATGGGAAGCCTTGATTATGTAAAGGGACATAAACAGTCTACCCCCCAGAGCCCTGTACAGGGGTAAGGGCAAGACAACTAAATCTGGAGTACCATGCCCATGGTTCCAGCAGGCAGTTCAGGACTGGCACAAGGTCAGCCTTTCATCCTTTCAGCACCACTCTTACACCTTAGGAAGCAGATAGTAGAAAGGATTGGAGAAGGTCCGGAAACAAAAGCTGAAGGAAGAAAATGGTTAATGGTTAAAATAAATGTGCTAAACATCTAAGGTCATATTGCACTATAGGAAGGTATAGTAAAGGGGGATGTCAGGTGATAGTTGCTATGTGTCAACTATCTAGAGAAGTGAAGGAAGAAAAGACCATGCAAAATTAGTCGAGTCGAGGGCTGAGGCCCTAGACGGGAGATCCCTGCATTGGGTCTCAGTCTCCGTTTCCTAAGCCCCCCACGGCAACAACGGGCAAGGGATTGGGGGGGATTTTGCATGTAAAAATCTAGGATTCATTCTAAACACTGACTTCAAATTAAATTCTCATTATTTCACAAATTTTATTTTCCCATAATACAACCATGGAAATGGCAGTTCATTGTAACAGACAATGAGGTAAGTAAAACACTTTTCAGTCAAACCTGTAATTTTTATATATATACTGCATATTATCTTATAAATTTATAGTTATACATATTTATACTCTGATGCATTTCCATAGATTTTTTTCCATATTTCTTTGCTCTGCTGTCCCAGTAAGTACCAATGTCAAATAAAAATCTTATCTATTACCTAAAAAAGTTACTGCATCTCCTGTATTCCAATAATGCATTCCTTCCTTCCCTATTTACGTATTGTTGGCTCTCTTTATTACACCTGGCATACAGTCCACAGGATACAACATAAAGGGTATAGGGACTTCTTCAGGCAACTGTACAGAAATATCTGTAGCTAAACGGCCACACAGAGGTACACATCCACCACTGTGGACTGACTAGCAATATGACCTTTAAATGCACTGAATCAAGACAATACTGCATTATGCACAGATTATGCAGCATAATGATAGGGGTCTTTCTTTGTTCACGGATATTAGTATGACTCACTTTTTAAAAACCATGTGATGATGATAAGGTGTGTAGGCTTAATATTTATTACATAATTTTTATCAAAATGCAAACTTCAATTTCTAAAAAATAGACATCATAATTTCTTGAAGACTCATAATGATGGAAGGACATGCAGGTTTCATATTCATTTGATGATTTTCTTATTAATATGAATTTTATTTTATTCTATTTTTTGGTTACAAATAAACTGTAAGTGCAAGTAACTCTGGATATAATCAGTAAAATATCATTTCTAAGACAATAACACCAAAAAGAAAATCATACAAAATAATAAATAAAATTTTCCAACTAATATACAGAAAAGGACAATTCACCTTTCCTCAAAGCATAGACAAAGATAATCACAAGTTTGTTGATAACTAGAAAAATATATATATACACACATATGTACAAGCACACACACACATCTACAATATATAAAACTCTCTGCAACTTACCAATGGCAAGTTACACTGGAGTCAAACTAGTAAGAAATGGGGGAGGAAAAAAAAAACATTCCTTAGTTCTCCTAAAACACATTTCACAAAAGTATTGTGTATTGATCAACAATAAATCATGAAAATTTTTCCATATATCAAAGTAAGTAGTTGCAGCTGAAGACTGCCATCCTAAAATGGCTAGGTTCGGGACAAGATTTTCATTTCACAATCAAAACATTGTTTCATATGCAGATTTTCCCTTGGTGCATGTGACATCCCTTTCAACTTAGTCAATGTCATCATTTGAAGGCTTCCTGGCATTTGGATAAAGGAAGAGGGAGAGGAGAGAGTAAGAGGAAGAACCATAGAGGAGGAAGGACAAAAGGAAAAGGTAGAGGAGGGAAGAGAGTAGGAGGAAGGACAAAAGAAGGTAGAAGAGCAAAACAAGAAGACAAGAGAAAAGAAAAATGGAGAAAAAGAGGCAACAGATAAACAGAGAGAGAAAGGGGAAAAATGAAAAAGAGTAGGTTTATGACACTAAATAATCAGCGTGGGGCTGACTAATGAAAGGAAACGGCCTTTTTCATAAGTTGGAGTGATGCCCTATTCAACAGAATATAATTCCAAATGGCTGTAAACTGCTTCTTTTTCAAACCTTTGTCCTTTACCTTTTCAGAAAAAGGAAAATTATCTGATTATTTCATGTGCAAACCCATACATATATAATCATACAAACACACGCACAAGCAGCAGATGTGCACAAACATTACACCATATGTGTTGAGTAGCAAGTAACCTGCCCTGCTCACTCTCTGCCTTATCGCAGGTGCATTTAGGCTTTAAAGGGCCTATGTGAAGTAACAACTGAAATTTTTTAAAAGGGAGAAGTAGCTCGCAAACCATCTCTCTAATATGAGTAAAAAAGGAAATCTGAAAATAATTCCCCAAAATTTATTTATTTAGATTTTCCGAAGTCAAGTTATATTTTCCCACGAAAATCCGGAACCCGGATGTGTGACGTCAATTTAAGAACACGATTACAACATTCTTTGCATTCAATACATGGCGGACTCACTACAAGACTACAGCAGCAGTAAAATCAGTGAAGTTTCATCGGATTATTCCAATGAGGACATTGGTACAACTTCTTCAAAGGGTGCCTATGTCTTCAAAGAGTTGGAAGAGGAGGAATATCAAGGGTTAATGGTTGCTGGACCGTACATGCACGAGCCCGATGCTGTGGATGTCGTGGAAGTTGTGCCAAACCAGCCAGACATGGAGTGGCGTTGAGACCCGAAGAGATTGAATGAATGGTAATTTTCTAAATTATTTTTTATATAACGAACGTGTGATCCCGCTTCTGTATGGTACAAAATTTTTGCAGGCTGAGCTATCTCTTGTCTGCACCAGTGGCGCAGGCCTACATCCATTCGCGAGTGGAAGGGCATCGGTATTTATTTATGTTGTGCTTTTTGGCGTGTACCTACCCTACCTCTGTGTAGTAATACAACTGTACATCGCCATGTACATCAATCCATACTGGATCAGACATCAGCTGATGATAGCGTTCTCGAGAAAGTAAAAAAGAGCATGTTCCTATTCCTGTTTTGTTAACATGTGCCAGATGATGTCAGTTTTTACCAGCTATTATTTAGATGAACTAGTAGGAGGCCTATGATGTACTGCAATGAAGATTACATGCAGACTTGCAATACACTCGGCACAGTGTGTCGTACCCACGCAATGAATGTTTGCTACACCACCAAGCAAACTCTTTCAGAATTTGTTTTGCGCTGTTTGTGATCTTGACAAATTTATATTGGAAATGACCTACCGTTTTGCAAATCCCATGTCATAAGCCATTCTGTTCACAAAGCAATTGGGCTTGAAGAGTTTCAGGCAAAGTACGCTGGTTGGCACAGGTTGAAAGTTGCTCCGCGTGGCATGCACAAAACGTGTCCACTTCCTTGCTCTGTTGTGGTCTTTTGGCCATTTAAATAGCTGGTGACATGAATGGGAACAATGAATTGCTACACAATGCCGCAGCATCCTTTGTTACAAACTTTAATAGCTTGAAACAATTCCGAGATATCCTTGACTCGTGGTGCACTGTGTGTATCACACTATTCAACAAGATTCTCCATGTTTCTGGGAATTGCCGAAGACCGCCGAGTTTTGGATCCATTTCTAAGGGCGTTGCTATGGGATTTTGGGGGATACCAGAGGGTCTCTTTGAATTTTTTTTTTGCATGAATAGACTTAACATACATTATTAAACAATGCACGATAATTACTTCACATATGCCCTTTAATCCTTAAAAAGGAAAAATCATGGAGACAATCTTATTTCCATGCTATAAAAAGGGCTAAAGAGCATTCCAGTAATATTTCAACTTAATTTAATATCTAATTTTTCTAACCTTTGGTATTCAAATCCTTGGAACAATTCCTGCCACAAGTTTCATAATTATATAAAAATATGGACATAATCCTAGGAAACAAATAAGCCCCAGAAAACTGGTTTCTGTAAAACAACTCCTAGCATAATACCTACTTTCCTACCATTCAGTTCATCCATTGGTTACCTACCTATTTCTTTGAATATCAGGTAATTTATCTCCCAGTGGTTCTTGGAGCAGACAGCCTAAATACAACATTTCTCCCATGTTTTCAACCAAACATATCATTTTCACTTAACAGTCTTGACTAAAACACTCCATAAACACACAAAGTAACTAAAGATCTGGCAGCTTTTACATTACCAGCATGTAATATAACACACAGTCATCCATGTAAAATAACATATAAAATCTTTCCTCTCACAATTTCCGATACCCATAACATCAATTGTCTTGAAATAATATATATAAATAATACAAATTATTCCTAAAAGTAAATACAATACATTCTATCTGTCATGGATATGTTGCAGTTATGTAAGATGGCATGATATTAGACAAAGACATACTTGCAATAGTTTTGCCAATGGTAATGTTAATTCTGTCTGTAAAGGTACAAAGGTACTCATCTAGGTCTGTAGTCTTCAAATTGCTTCACTTGTTTGAAAGGATGCACTTCTTAACATTATGTGGCTTGCAAACATAAAAACTGGCCTTTTGAACAAGAAGATATGCACAAAGCACTAAGTCATGGCATTGGTTACAACATACCTAATATCTTGCAGGTTTCCTAAAGAGCTCAAGGGATTATGATGATACAGACCCTGCAACCTAAATTCTGTTTCCAAAATTTCATCCATGTTTATAAGTTAGTCATTTTTCCAAAATGTTTAGATGAGAAGTTAAGTTTGTATGTTCTTGAATTCATAATCATAATAAAAAAAAATATATAGTCTCCTTTTCCTAAAAACAAGAAAACCTTCAAGGAAAGTCAGACAAAAATGAGCATTTATCATGGTGTGCAGCTCCACGCCTGAGCAATTGTCCAGTACGTGGTGGCACACACGAGATCTCATCCCAATAATCAGGACGTAAACTCATGACATTTGTTAAAATTGTGCCAGGCCCGACCCAATGAATTTTCATAAATACAGACGCAGAAATAAAGGCATATCTGTCTATATATCTGATAGATATGCATTTAACTATCTATTTGCCAAGTTGATATGCATATCTAGACTGATAAATATGCATTTATTTCTTTGAGTATGCATGTCAAGTATACGAATATTCTTTGGGTCAGGCTTCACACAATTCTAACAAACCGGCAGATAATCAGCCATCACCTATGACTTTTCTCCATGGTGTAATATATCATCTATTGCCACTGGGTTAAAGGTAAATCCTTAAGCAGGAAACAACAACAAAAAAAAAAAGCCTGAAATCTCTTGACCAAGCATCATTTCTATAATTTTCTGACTATATGTAATGCTCACTGTATTACCATTATATAAAAGGATAGAATAATGCAGAATCACAATAAACCTTCTTTGAGAGGGTTTAACTCCTTGCCTGGAAGATCCGTCATAGAGGAGTTGCAGGATTTTAAAATGCCGATGTCAGGAAAGTTTAAAATCATGACTTTATCATATAAATACTCAATTGTCAGAATTATATAACAGACCAAGAAAACAAAGAAATATATTAGCTGCACCTTCACATGACCAGACATTGTCATTCACAGTTTTCAAGAATATACCTGTACACAAGTTTACAAATCACAAAAAAAATAAACGCATTCATAAAAAATACAAGACCACACCAACACTGAACACTCTTTATAAAATTGGTAAAATTATCACAATAATCACTTCAAATACATAAAGATTTAGAGAGAGGAAGACAACAGATGCTCCCCTATTTCAACCATTTTTCAGCTTGAGCGTACGTTTGAGGAGCCAGTTGAGGCCTCGGTGCACGCCAGACAGGGATTTCACCTCCACCTCACAGACCTGAAGCAGGAAGGAAAGGTTTAAAGACAAATACCTGAATGTCAAATTTTACTAAAAATAAATAATAAAACAATAACTGCAATATGACAAGAGGAATATGTAGTTATGTTTAATAACAAACACTGTTAATAATAAATAATATCAAACACATAATAATATCATAATTTATTTCAATTTGAAAATAAAACCATCAAAAAACTAATTAGTATTATAAAAAATACGACAATTAAGAAAATAAAAACACCCATAACATCGAATTACTGATCATAAAATGGTTAACGCTAGATATTCAAAGGCCGTGCATAACACAAAAAAGGAAATTAGCAACTCCCACAAGATGGCAATGTTTGGTGCTTTCTGTAGGCATGGGAAAGACATATTTCTTTGGTCTAAATTCGAACATGATTATTTCTGCTAAACCTGTTCCGATTTGGATATTGAAAACATGAAGAATTTGTATACTTTGATCAATATTATATTTGACAATTAATGATTAAAGGCTTTTAATAATATACAAACTACAGATTACTATACACAGTGGGCCCCCTGTAAAAATTAGTATTTAAAGCCATAAAGACCAACATAATTATCATGAAACGAATGATGCCTTCATCATAATTTCAGATATGTTTTCCATTTTGGCTATACTACATATCCATTTCTGTTATAGCATAGTGAGAAGGATTTACTTTTACTTTCATCCCCTTACAATCAACACAATCCTATATCCATAATCCATAAACTAAAGACAAAACAAACATCAAATACTAACCACAAACAAACCACACAACAACAATACACATCCATACCCTAAGTCAAATCCAAATCCTCATTCCTAACAAACACTTAAGGGAAATTCACATACCGCCCATGGCAGATCCAGCTTGCTGAGGACAGGGTATAACATGGCAGGACGGTGACGCTTCTGTGTGGCGGGGTCGTGACAGGAACCTGCATCTTTGGTCGTATTTGTTGGGCGGTGCTGTGGGACATCACATGAATCCAAGTCCCGCGCCAGGGTGGCTGGGTCATCCATGTGCGCTAGAAGGACAAGCACAGGTGGGGCCAGGTCTGGGGGAATGGTTCGCATCATTGCCTCCAACTCCAAGACGTCAATGCTGTGGATGCCGTCCCTGCAGCCGTTCTGGCTACTACAGTGCGAAGCCCCATCACCTGATTCACAGTTGCAGGAGGCATCCATGTAGCAGATCAAGCCATCAACACGTGTCACAACCTAAAAGGATAAATGTATAGGTAAACAGATCAAAAATTTAAAAGTTGGAGTCACTTAGGAGGAAAGAACTCTTTGCTGAAACTTCTGACTTTCATATGTAGTTTGCAGAAAATTTAATAATTTGCAAAAGTAGGAGACAACATACAATTTTGTCATATGAAATTACTCCCTTTTAACTGAGGAAAAGCAAATGTTCCTGTACATTGCAAGGATAGATTAGACATACTACTTGACACAAACTATATGACAAACTATAGTAAATGGTATACTGTAATTCCAAGTTCCCTATACATCAATAATATCAAAAGTGGTTAATATCCACAACATGAATATTAAACATTCCTCACTCTTACCCCCACACAAAATTCTATGGAATACCAGCCATATTAGGATTAGTGCCTCTATAGCATACTGCATAGCATAGCATACCACGTGGTCCACATCTATACCGCATGGTCGGTTACGGTCACCATGTGCTACCCATGTGTAGCCACACTTCACCCAGGTCACGCTGGTGCCCACCCTACCGCACCTCGTTACCTTCGACACACCACGAGCCAAGGGGTATATAAGGTCACCAGGCTGACCCAAGGACCTCATTCTCTCATTCTCAAACACCTCAACGAGCTGGCCCTTGACCCGGGAGTGACCGCTCACCCACGGTCGACCGTACAGCCGCATGTCCGGTGGCTCGGCCTAGCTCTACACTCAGCACCGAGTGCCAGCATCCATAGTGTTCTTCTATCTTATATCGTGTTCTCTTCAATAAAGTGTGAAGCTAATCAGTGTATCACTAGCCGCCACCAGTAATTCAAACTACACTATATAGATGGCCGTTAAGTACCTTTTATAGCTTCCCTGCATAAAAAACAACACATGATAATAAAAACAAAGAAAAAAAATATATGAAAAATATATATAAACTACATATGAAAAAAATCTACACTTTACTTAATCAAGTGAAAGACAATCACCTCAGCCACGTCAGGATGGAAAGTCGTTCCTTTTGGTCCCTCCACAAGCAGCCTAGGTCGAGCTCTCCGTACAGTCAACAAGTTCATTAAATGGTGTGCGTACTTCACGGTCACACCTCCACCTGTTGACACAGACAGTTTTTTAATTTTTCAGAATATAAGGATAACAGTAGCAGTTGCAGCAAAAGAAAAGCAGGCATAAGAGAAATTGAAATTATGAAAAAGATGAGCAAAGAGTAAAAGTGTGTGTGAGTATGGAGTATTACCAGCACAAAAATAAGAGGAAGAGAGAAGAAAGCACACGACAACTAACCAGGTTAAGAGTAGGATAAAGAACAGTGAGAATAAGATGAAAATGAACTGCAGGGAAGCAGAGGTACCAGGATTAGTTGCAAGAATATGATGATTAAAAGTTTTACAATTCCAAGCAGCAGGGATGGTAGAACTAGTCACTTGTCAACCATGTCTTAATCCACAGACAACAGGTGATGTCCAATCATGTTAAAACAAATGGACACAGACACCAGGTGACCATTCATCAGGTCCTGAGAACTAAACCATCTCCTAGTCACATGAATGTACACCTGCTCTTGTACGTGTCCAAAAATCTTGGTTCAATATAAACTGTGTTGATATGGAGGGCTATCTTCAGTATTACGACCTAAAACCAATCAACATTTATAGTATTTTCTCCAATGCAGCTCTGGTACACAGTGACACATTTGTAAATGTAATCAACAAAATATCATTGCACTTACCAACACCTCCTGGTTTCCCCTTCACTAATCCTACAGTGTCAAAAGTCGAGTCCTTTGAAGCAATGAAGCTTAAAGCCAGCTTTTTTGAAACTCTTGTCTCTGGGGTCCCGAAGAGGAGAAATGTCGGTGCTCCTTCACCCTTTGAGAATGGCTGAAACAGGCAGCTTTATTAAACAATCATTACATGATCTGACACTGCCTACTTTTCTCTCTCGTTTAATAAAACTTAATGATATTCTCCATTTTTGCTTATTTTCCTCCTAGAGCACCTCAAAAACACTCTGATTCATTTATAAAAAATTTAACACACCCTAACTATCACTCACTCACACACCCTGTATCCCACTTACATCTGATGGAGAATGCGGCTGGGAAGTGATAAACATACTAAAGAAGCTTTCAAGCAACTCATTAAAGCTTGTAGTTGGTGTTGGCGTTACCATCTTGGAGAGCAAATTTCCAATGTCCAGGTCTTCGTGATTCTCATTGATGTATGAGTCTGGATCAAGAATCTCGTATCTAGTGGAGGACGAGAAAGAAAGATTAGGTTGCATCTAAATAATGCTATTTTTCCAAATTAACTGTTGGAAGTTATATCAAGATAGTCTTGTATTTGTCGTATATTGTTACTTTTTTAAATGTTACACATGAAATAATTAAAAACTAACAAGTACAATAAAATAATTCTAGAAAGATTTAGCATTTCCACTGAAAACAAGTTGGCCTTGGGGTCTCAAAAGAAAAGGAAATAAAGCCAACTGATAAACTGTACAAAGAGCATTCTGAAATCTTTTAGGGCTCAGACTGTAGCAATTCCCTATGTATGTGGGCAAAAAATTAAAATCTATTCTTCATTAGTACATGCATTAATAAAATTATTTCCAATCCCACAGAGTAAACCTGCCCACTGGTCATTACGTATAAGTATGACGCAACAAAAGACGTAGATGACAAAACAAATTTAATACTCACAGCAACCTATTGTTCACCAGCAGGGGGTCACGTACTAACATGTCTGCATTTGGGCAGGGTGAAATATTGGGCCCAATTAGACCTAAGTTTACTACCTGCAAAAAATAAATTCACAGCATGCAAATGAAAAAAAAATTAAAATGCTAAAAGCTGCAAAACTATGGCAAATGAGAAACACACACACACCAATCCATCTACATAGCACTCTTTTCTGTTTGTTTATTTCAACACTCAGTCCCTCATTGTCAATAGATAAAAGAAAAGAGATAAATATATATAAAGGACCAAATCAACAACCTGACTAGGCCTACCCAGCTTACAAAAATAAGAGGAGACTCGGAAAACCCCAAAATGGCTTGTCCCTAGGGCCCCTTACCTTGGCTCGGATCCACAACTTGTTCCTCCACATTAACTGGTCTCGGGTGATCTCCCAACCGGCCCGACAGGTGAGAGCCATTGCCCTTGTGTCCCGCAGGCTTAGGAGAGAAATTACTTCCATGCATACTGGGGACTGTAAAGAGATACAAAATGAAGCCTTCAAGGATTGGAAGACTTGATTCCACCACACTCTTGCTCTTTGATGCTA